GAACTGTTCTGTTCACAGATGAGAGTCGGTACTGCGTATCAACTGCAGATGGAAGAACAAGAATATGGCGACGACATGACCAGCGTTACTCAGACCAATGTGTTATGGAAAGAGACTCATGGGGGGGTGCAAGCATCATGGTATGGGGTGGAATAAGCCTGAACCAGAGAGTGGGTCCTTTGGTGTTCCAGGGAGAGGAGCGGCATCACAGCGGTGCGCTACATCAACCAATCTCTGACCCCACGTCAAACCACATCAAACATTTTCCAGCATGATAACGCCCGGGCCCATACTGCCAGAGCTACACGGGACTTCCTACAGCAGAACAGTGTCAACATTATGCAGTGGCCAGCCCTTAGTCCTGATTTAAACCAAATTGAACATCTTTGGGATGAAATTCAGAGGAGACTGAATAATGTCATACCAAGGCCAACGCAGCCGGTTTATCCAGCCATGCCTTTCTCAGAGTGTGGTTCCAGGTGCCAACAGCCTTCATCAATCGATTGGTGCACTCCATGCATAGACGCTGTGCTGCAGTTATTGCCACTCGTGGTGGTCACACTAGATACTGAAGTCAAGAGTCTGAATGGACAGCAAAGGTTCACGTAATGTCTTGAAATTGTGCTGATTTATTCATTGATATATCAAGATATTTTACACAAAAAACTGTTTTGGATCCGCTTATTATGTCCATTTCTGTAATGATTTTATTTCAGTGCCTATCTAATTTTGAGTTCGTACTGACGTTTTTTTTGCTGCTGAGATATAATGACAGTGACGGAGTGGTACAGGGTGGCTGACAAAGACAATGTACACTGCTGTAGAGTAAGATTGTAGATTGAATAATTACAATGAAGTCACACGTGGCTTGGCTACATAGTTTTTGGTCTTTAGAAATATTTGGACAATGGCTGTCCTGAATTAGACACTATAACAGTATTCTAGGGATTTATCTTTCTTTGGTATAGATGTAATAAGACCTTGTTTTTGACTAGTAGAGAGTTCTCCCTTTAAATAAGCTTGGTTTAGTGAGTTGATAAGAAAGCTACGGACAGGGTGGGGCTTTTATCATTTATCATGTTTTTTTAGGGCATTAACACTTCTTCATACTGTAATATTCCTTCAATGGAAACAGAATCCTCCTTTGATACTTTGAGTATGGATGTTTCTTTAATAAATCATGGAGGTCTGTCTTTTGTATCTTTTAGTAGTTTTGAACGTGCTTAATTATATCTTTTGTGTCTTGCAATGTTGTATTTTCTTCCACAAGCTTTGTTATTGCTTTATTTTTAAATTTCTGCTTTTCCAAGGAAAGGAAATATTTTAGTGGGGTTTTCTCCTTTTTCTTGCCATTTGGATTTAGCTCTCATTATGATACCACCAGTTTTACTTTTATTCATTTCAATTTGCTCATTTTTCAATTCATCTATTTTGTTAATGATCACATGTTTATCATAATGCTCGTTTGTTTCATCCAATTTAGTTTCTAGTTTTTCATTTCTTTCTTTCTCTCTGTTTAATCTTTCTTATTTTGAATGAGTATTTTATTGTGAATCCTTGAATACTACAAAGTAACACCTCGTAGAATAGTTGATCACTGATTGTTAAATCTTTCCCCCCATCTGTGTTTAATGAATTATTGTTTTGGTTTCTTTGACTTACTAATCTTAATTGACTTTCAACATCATGTAAATGAAAAATTATTTTGATGGTTCAAGGTAATCAATACAAAGAAGAGACTTGAAAATATAAAAAGAATTCTACAGAATAGGAAAAAGTGTAATTTTTGTTGTGGGCACAAACATGCTCCAAAGCTGGCCGGCGTCCAAGTATTATCTGTAGGAAATTTTAACAGAATGTGCAAAACGTGTCAAAACCTTGATCAAAATGTTAGAAACATGACGGAACCCATCTGAACGTGACAGGCCGGGAGGAAACGTAATGGCATCTGTAGTGGACTGCAGGCCGAACCACAGTGCGCCTTTGAGCTTCCGAGACTCAGGAGCCCATTTTTCCCAACAGCCCATCACGGATACCTTGATAGACCGTGAGAAAACTTAGGACCTAACAAAACTTGAGGGAAAAAAGGCCAAAATCCCACGGCTCACTACATTTCGGGGAACCAAGTCTGCCGTGGCCGCCAGGAACTTAAGTCAGCTGTCACTGGGCATTTGTAGTTTGTTCAGAACCACACCTATTACAGGATAAAAGTTTTAAACGCTTTCAGTCTCCCACTCACATAATGCTGAAAGCAATGTAACTGGGACTGTGAGTTCGAAAAGAGAAGCTTATATAAGCACATCTACCTAATCTTGCACTGATTATCCATCTTCACAAAGAAAGCATGATGAGTGAGTGAGTTTGGTTTTACGCCGCTTTTAGCAATATTCCAGCAACATCACGTCGGGGAACACCAGAAATGGGCTTCACACAATGTACCCATGTGGGAATTCGAACCCGGGGTCTTCGGCTTGACGAGCCAACGCTTTAACCACTAGGCTACCTCACCGCCCCAGAAGGCGAGGTGAACTTGAAACACACTGTCAGTATCTTGCTGTACAAGATGATTATGTCGTCGAGTGACTGTCTTGTGCAAAGTCTCAAGGTAAATGACTTAAAATTGTGCAGATGTTAGTGAGGAAACTTAACAAACTAAACTGACCAATAACAGAGCAAAAGACAGCGTGCCCTCTGAAAGAAAGACAAAAGAAATGCACTGTAGCCACAGTGACACAATAGGGCCAGCTTGTAGCAATCAAGCATGAGACTGTTACCTGATATAATCTAATAAAACCCACTTTTCTATACTGTCTAAAAAAAGCAATACCTTATTTACACAAATAAAACAGAGAATATGACACTGCTGTATTTACACAAATATAATGTGGGAAATATGACACTGCCACAACTGGCTGCTAGAAAGGCATCTTGGCAAGTGATGATATTTCTGAGATGGTAGATGTATGTAGACATACAGGAAGGCATCTTGTAAATCTCTACTGATTAGCCAATCTCCATGACCTAAGGTTGAACATCTTGTGACTGATTCCATCTGAAATTTAGGTGGAGGCACTGAGAAATGTTGTTGAGAATTGTCAGAGTGAAAATCATTTGCTTTTCAGAAGAATTTATTTTGTGTAAGAGGTACACTGGAGAATAAAATCTTGTGCTATGTCCATTTGAGATTCTTTCAAACACCTGTTTTCTGGCAGGTCTTAAAAAAACTAAATTTGCCACAATTAATTTCATTTCCCCCAAGTGAAATCTGTGACCTGAGTGCGGGTAACCTTTGATTACACCAGCTGTGATCCAAAGGTTTGATTGGGAATTCCAGAAGTTGAAGATTGTCTGTTCAATGTGATCTTATTCCTGCCACAAACCAGTTAATGTACAAGATATTTTTTATGGATTAAACTTCTTTTTAAATTTCTCTCACAACGTTTCGAGACCATTCCAGGTCCCAGCTTTGGAGCATGTTTGTGCCCACAACAAAAATTACACTTTATCTTGGACATCAATGTACAACTTCTAAATGCCACTGAAAGACATCAGTTAATGTAGTTCCATAGCATACTTGTTCACTGCAGTAAGATCTCTGTCCCTATTTGGAGGAAGATGTAATTTCATAGTTGGCTTTCTGACCAATTTGAAATATTCTTCATCCATGGGAATCGATTCAGGCAACAGAGAAACACGAGTCTTATACATCCTCCTCTTCATACCTCACAATGTTTACCTGCTCCAATGAGTGATCTAATATCTGTGTGTCACTTTTCGAGTAGAGGTCAAAGGGTGGTTACAACTTTTGTACTCGTGGCATTTGATGATGTGTTTCTAAATCTAAACATGGTTGTACTGATGTAAAAACTTGAGTCCAGCATTTGGGAGAAATTGAATCCCAAGCCAAACTCTAGTGGAGAAGACCTATCTTAGTTGCTGAATAACAATCATCATAATCTTAGTTGGAATCAAGTGAATCAGTAGTGATAAGATAAGAAAGCTGAGAAGACAGTTGATGATCACACATGAGTCAAGAACCCCATGCAGTGACCTTGTTGGGACCAGGCACTTGTGTTGTAGTAGACTCCGATTAGGTCACCAATGGGTTGTCTGCATGGGCCCTGTACTGAAGGATGGCTTGTGCAGAGACATCCCTGTGCAAGTATCTGTAAGGCTGTTTGGATGGTTTTCAGAAAGAGACAGTATATTAGCTTGAAGAAAATGCTGATGGTCCTTTCAGCTTTTCTGTCTCCTACGATAATACAAATAGTCTGGAGTCACACATTGTTTTCATAGATGTTTCTTGCTGAGAAACAATCTCTTTTAAACCTCAACAGGTGGCTGATGTAATATCTATGCAGTTTATGTGTAGACAAGTAAGGCTTTGTAGGAGGTGATGCAAGGATAGATAGTACTGAGTCGACTTACTTTGTATCTTGCTTTTATGATGGAATCTGACAATTTATCAAAGGGAAACATAGTTCACACCTCCTCTCCTCTGAAACAGAAGCTACTCAGGATTTCCAGCTAGATTTGTGTGGATCACCCGTCACCATAAACACTGTTGATTAGGTCGAAGACATTGTGCCCCAGAGTGTAATCCCTTCTATAAACCAACAATAGAAGAATATCAGTTCTGAACTGACTGGTAATAGATTAACTACACCAGTGACGACATGAGTGAGGTTAACCCCTTTTTTAACAACTGACTGACTGACTGAGTTTGATTTTACGACGCTTTTAGCAATATTCCAGCAATATCACGGCGGGGAACACCAGAAATGGGCTTCACACATTGTACCCTTGTGGGGATTTGAACCCGAGTCTTCGGCGTGACGAGCCAACGCTTTAACCACTAGGCTACCCCACCACCCCTTTTTTAAGGACAGAAGATATCCTCAAGTTGTGACTGAGAGAAGCATAGTGTTAAGTATTTGTACAAGGTAATGATGAATTTGTCATTCAAAAGAGTGAGCAAGAAAAAAAAAATCAGTACTTACCACAAGTGTTTCCAGGCCAAAGTTTTTTCTTCAGTCCCAAAGCTAGTTTCAATGCAGCTTGGCTATTGATGCGATTGTTTCTGAAATTATAATTAAACCATTCACACAGCAATATTCCAGCTATATGCATATGGTGGCACATTCAATTGAGACGGTGAGGGACTTATGTTGAATACTTACAAGATCTCTTGTATTTTCTTTTTAGGTCTAATATATTTGATTGCAGTGCAAATTACCAATCTGTAAGCTAGTCACGTAAACTAGTCAAGTTTCATTAATGCTAAATATTTTCTTGCTGAAAGGACAAACAATTATTTCACAGTACCTTTGTTACTTTTATGGGACCATTGATTCTTAGAGTAGCAATAATCCCTTTAATGTCTGTATTTATGTTTATGTGCTCCTAATTCATAACCTCCAAAAACTAACCTGCCCCCTGATGAAGGGGACGCAAAATCTTTAATATCTCATCCTTACTATTTAATGTTTTCAACTCCTATGTATTTAAACTAGTATAGGCAATTCTGTGTCTGAAATATTTTTTGTTTCTATTCAAAATGATAAAAATGCCATTTTAATATATACTGTAAGCCATTAAAAATGCAATTTGACATTCATACTTTCTTTACTCACACCAATTTCAACATATATAAACCTAACTGGCAGATATATTTTGAGTGAACATCTGTGAATAATTTCATCTGAAAATGTCCAGTCAACAACATCAGTGACGCAACAACGACATCAAACAAAGGAGGGGTCACTTGCAGTCAATATCGTGTGTGTCCACCGTGCGCTGCAAGACATGCTCGCAGTCTTTGGGGCATTGAAAGACACACATTTCCCAGGAACAGCTGTTGGATGGTCTGCAGCCTCTGATGGTCTGTGGTCTGATCATGACACAACCCCCTCCAAAACGATCATGTTCAAGGACACAGTTTGGCGCAAGTCTTTCTCCTTTACATTGATAAATCTGTGGACGTCCATCTGCAAAGGATAAGTTAAACCTGGATTCATCTGACAAAATGACATCTGGCCATGTCCTGTTGCCAAGATTGGCCCCATCACTGTCTGGCAAGTCTGTGGCGATGCAATAAGGTTGGACCACGGTACGGGTGACGACACCGGATGTTGAAAGCAGCAAGGCTTCCTTGCACCTTTTTGGGCGCTGAAATGACATTGACTTGTCCCAATTGTCCTCCTTGCCTCATCATCAGCTGTTTGGAACCGATTTCGCAAGTGTGAAACTCGGATATTGCGGTTTTGTCGAGCTGTTATCACAGGTGGTGCACCAGGTCGCGGACGATCAGCAACACTTCCGGTAGCCAGAAAATGTTGTCTGAGTCGACTTACAGTGGATGGATGCACATTAAAGTGCCTGGCAATCATCACATCTGAAGCACCTTGGCTGACCATACCGATAACCTGATTCCTTTCGTCTTGTGTCAAGTGTGGCATTTTCTCACATTGATGGAGTTCCACAATTCCTTGTGCTTTAAAAGGGCCTGGGTGCAGGTAATGCATGTGCACAACGTGTTTCATGAATGTGGTTGTGTTTACGAGAAATGTCAAAGGTTCAGTTTTAAGTATCAAAGTTCATGTGAGAGGAATGCTCCGGGACTCGAACTCGAAATGGGCCAGAATAACAGCCTTTTATCCCTACATCCTCTGTATCGCAGGCAAAAAATCTTCAATAGAACTATTGTTAGTTTCAGGACAACAAATACCAATTGCGTTTTTAATGGCTTACAGTATATATCCTTAATTTATCATACTTAAAATGCAATCCTGTAGAAATTTACAGCAATTATCCACCGTTCAATGATTTTTTACACCATAAACCAGAGATGCAAACCCTCCCGAATTTATCGGAATCATCCCGAAAAATGCATGTCGATTCCGCTATTCCAACAAAGCCACATTCATTCAGATTTTTTCAAAATATAACATAGATATAGATAGTTTACTTACTGGAGGGCTTGGGTCATCTTTGACTATGAATAATGATAATTAACCCATTCAACACCGTAGGCTGGAAAAACGGGCCAGGGAGTAGTCGCATCAAATGATATATAATTTTAGGAACCTAACTAACATATGATTCATTTATTAAATCTATCACTTTTCGCAATGTCTGAAAACACTTAGTACATTTCAAATGACCATACATTATCGACAGAATTAGACTTATAAATTATTTTTCGCAATGTTATTGAAAAAAAACAAAAAAATTCCCCGACACATGCTTCGGCAACGGGTTCGCATCAAAGTTGTCAAAGAGCAAAGTAACGATGTTTCGAGATAATAATTAAACAAATTGAATAAACTGTTTATAAAATCAATAACAGTACTCATAAAAGTTGCTAAACGTACGTTACAACTTACTATTTCCATCTTTTTTTTTCGATCGTGTAATGTAATTCAAGTGACATCTCGGCTTTCATCGCCTCAAACTAAGCGCTCGGACACAATGTTTGATGCTAAAATATATGCATGAAGCATTTTTGTCACAGGTCATAACCTAGCACGATACGTCCACTAAGTTCCATGATTTTCATATAGGTTTTATCCGTAAAACGTTCAGAATAGCATGATTTTACCCAAACCTTTTGTCGGAATCTAAGTGTTTTCGTTTACAAGGACGGTATCCATTGCTGTAAAATGAATGGCTGCCTTAGGTCATGTGCATGATTTTGACTAATCATGATCCTCATAGCAGACTGACAGAAAAGTGTCTGTACTTTACTAAGAAAGTGTAATCCCAAAGATAACATGTTACATTTGACCACTTTCTAAATGGCATTGTGTAATCATAGCTTGGGACAGTCTAGACTACCAGTTGTCCGACTTCCATTGTTGTGGAAGTTGCGGTGGCTGAGCGGGTTAGGCGGCTGATTTTGTGTGTTGGGACTCAGCCCAACAAAAGTACAAGAATCTGTACTATACTAAAAAAGTGTATTCCCAAATAAAACATGTGTTAGATATTGTTGATGTTCAGAGCTTCTGAACGACACCCGCAATCAAATGAAATGCCTCACATGTTATTCGTACGAAGCTTCCAAAACAGAGGTATTTCCCGCTGTTGTATCAAGTTACCGAGCAGAAAGCCACTGATATCGGGAAACAGATGACCATACATATTATTTGAGAAATCTTTTTATAATAATTTTCAGATTACGTAAAAATGAAAACACAAAAGAAAAAGGTAAGGGGATGTTATGTGATGTTACAAATGGAAAACATCGCAGCATTTTTTGCTCCCTTCGTGGTTTATCTGGACATTATAAATGTGTAAGCTTGGATTTTCATTTAATATTAACTTATTTACGTTGTAGTTGTATTGTTTAAATAATATGATAAAAAATACATTCATATTTATAAACAGTAGGATTAGACCTTTCAAATGGTGTATGATATGTTGTAGCAATAATGTTTTACAAGCTGATATTTTCCTTGATAAACATAATTTTAAGCTTCATCTATGACCTCAGAGTTTCTGGGAACTTGGTGTCATGGCAGTAAAAGCCTCTGGTTGACTGGTTGTCATGGGAACTAATGCAAACTGATTCACTTGTCTCCACTTCATTATTGTAGGCTTCAGTTGATTGTATCAGAGTCTCCCTCCAGTCATTTGTGTTATGTTCTATGTTTTTCAAATTTTCAACAACAACATTTACTTGTTTCAAATGACTTGAATCTCCCGTGATTTCTCTGCCATCACTTAATCTTCGAGCGGATATCATAAGTTGTACTCTATTTCTCTTTTGCTGCTTAAGAAGTACATAGTCACCAACTATCATGTTGTACTCAGAGATGCCAACCCCAAAGTGTTGCAAATAGTAGTTTCAAGGATCATAATTAGTAGTTTGACCAAAAATTAGTAGTCAACTAAATACTTAAAATCATGATGGATTGTGAGAAAGATAATATGACACTAATCAAAAGTGAAGCTTTAATTTCACATACCTCCAACAGCAGATTTCCAAATTGTTACTTGCAATGATTCCAGTTCAAATATGTCATTAAAGGAGAATACAAACGAAAACAAAACTTTTGATATATTGTAAAGGAGATTTTAAAAGTCACATTCCGTGATTAAAATTGAACAAACAGTTTTTAAAATAGCAATAAAAACACAAAAACGTACTCTTACGGAAACACCCGACAGTTAATGAGCAGAAGGGGGTATCACGTGACATGATGTCATATGTGCCTGTTGCTGATGGCTTCCTCTTTGATTTTACCTCAAAACTTAAAAGAGTCCGTGGATTCTGAAGCAGTAAAAGATGTTCCTGATGTCATTTCTGAAATCGATGTTAGACCGTATCAATACGATCCGATTTTACATCTTGCAAGACAATCTTCCCCTGAAGATGAAGAAGAAGAATCAAGCGCAACGGAGGCACCGCTTGAGATCAAAATAAATTTAAAAATAGATCATATCATTTAACAAGATTACTATTTGTCAGCAAAATGTCATACAGTTCCAGCCAGCAAACTCACCCCTATAAATATATGACCAGTCACTAAGAATTATTTTTTTTAAATGTGATTACAGTTCATGTTGCGTCAAATGGGTGACTGTAGGGTGTCTGGGATTTAAGAACAAAATAATTATGCTTCAGACGAGGGAAAATAAAAATTGTCTGCTTCAAAAATTACACTGGAATTATTTTGTTGAAAAAAATTAGGATCCTAGTCCTCATTAATAACGTATCAAGTCTCGATACAAGATCCCAGCCTACTCGAGCAGAGATAATATTCGGTTATTCCCCGAAAACTGGTGAATTGTAAAATACTAGTCAGGACAACGTATGTTTCCCCATTGTTTGGTTATGGAAATAGTTATGGTACTTGGTCATAGCCTTAGAATGACATCCTGTCAGCAAATGTAATTTTTAGAGTAAAATTGATATTTTATACTTATCCTGACTCATGCTCTTTGCTTGTCTTCTTCTTTCGAATTTAAAATGTAATTTTTTAGAGTAAAATTGATATTTTAACATAGTGGAACACTTGTATCTCCTTATTTGAAGCCCTTCAAAATAAAATCACTAATTGGTACTCACCACGAAGTTGC